CCCCAAAACCCCAAAACCCCAAAACCCCAAAACCCCATGATGCAAGAGTTATAGAAATACGAGCTATACTGTAATTTACTGGTATAAATCGTATTAGGCTTTAAAAAATAAGTTATTCTCTTTAGACCAATATGGTGTATCTTTACCTTTTTAGTTACTCATGTGACACTTTATATATCCTCATATATTTCACCTTAAACCATTTATTTTATACCTGCTAACAATATCTCTAGTACTATTCTGTAAGGCGTAAGTTATTTTTCTAGTTTATTGTTTTTCAAGTACAAGAATATCATTTTGATTTTTCCTTAGTAATTTTCTAAAGAATGATAAAATATATTTTTGGAAAAAACTCTTACGTACTGGAATATACTTAAGACATGTAATGAATTTTTCATTAATCTAAGTCTGAAAATCCTTACAGTTTGTAGTTTAATCAGCCAACAAGAAATTATGATTATTATACAGTTTTGCCAGTGAATAAGTTAACCTAATAGATGCTAATCTATTGCCATGGGCATAATTAGTGAATAAATTCTACAGTAAATCTAAATACTGAATTATAATCATGAAGTAATCAAGGCAAAATTTCTATTCGAAAATGATAATGTTTAGCCTAAAACATGAATTGCTCTTTTTATATATCTGACTGAATGAAAAATTAAATTTGCAAGCTTGAGTTACTTATGTACGCTGGTTTGGAACATTTTATAATTTAAGTTATGAGTTGACATCAATAAAAATTAAACTAGAACTTGGAAAATATCAGGTAATATTTTTATTTATAAAATCTACAGTTGGTATGACTACTGCTTAAACTATAACCATGATAAATGCATATTAAAAGCAACTCATATCAAGCTTTTGATCTAATGAGTTAACTAGTGCTAAGTGCAATCTCGCTTAAATTATTCATTGAAAAAAATTAAACTTTATGAAACACGACAGACTAAAGTAGATGCATAAAATTTTCAAATTAGTACTTCTGGAAAATTATTTTCTTTTCGACACACAAAAGTAGCAAGATCTTTCAGAACTAATAATAGAGCTAATTTGAAATTCGTACTATACTTTTAAAAAATTGCCATTATTTATCAAATTTAGGAAAGAGGATTTTAATATATTGTTTGAAGACACTCATAAAAATAATTTTGAGGAAATATAGTTCTTAAAGTATAAACTCATAAGTTTTTGAACAAGAGAAATAAAAATGATTATTCACATCTAAAATTCTACTCTAGTGAGATTAAAACATAAAGAATAGTTGGAAACTTAACAAAGTTTAATGTAGAATTACTTCAAATTGATAGCAGAAGATTTTAAAAAAGGTATCACAAAGCCGAATCTCATTGTCTAATGTGCGTAAATGAGTTACCACCGTTTAAGTGAAAAAAAACTTAACAGACAAGCCAAAATTGCTTCTTAAATAATTAATGTTATGGAAACACATCTTCAAAAGGTCCAATACTTCAAAGAAAGGTGGAATATTTAAAAGGGTTTAGATGCTAATAAATTTTAGCATTTTACCAAGTCTTACTGACTCCTCAAAATTTTGATAAATTAAAAAAATAATTACTTATATCGTAGACATATTCATATTCACTTCTTAGTTCAAGAATAAGTGATTGCAACAATTCTCTTTAATCTTGAAAAATTCAAAGAACCTGAATCAATAAAATTAAGATGCTGCAATAATAAGTAAATATATTGGAGGCTCATAAAATTCCATCTTATCAAAGTATTCATTTAGTATTAATGGATTTTAAATAATCAATAAAGATGCTACTCTAGATATATCTATTTGATCTCTAGATATCTCTTTTTTATAAACTCAGAAGTAAAATATTAATAATACTACAAATTGGTAGAGGAAGTAATTGACTATCTTTAAAAATGTGTCTTAAAGATTTTAATGTAAACCTTGCTTTAGCTTTATAAATGTTTTATAATAGGAGCACCTAGTTCAAAAGATATTCGTAATAAACTGGAAAATTTCTTATTCAAATGAAAAAGTGTAAATGGCATTAATTAAAAAAATTTCACAAAAATATAGCAAGAAAAGTGAGATTTAACATGATAAATGACTGCATGCAAAAATCATTATTTGCCAGATTATATGCGACTACCTTTGAGTTGCTTCTGAAGCCAATAAACAATTTTCCCCTCTAAGTCACTAAGGCGGCTTTCTGAAGTTTTATAAATCTGCTATTAAATTCAAGTTCCTAGTACCATGTATTCATGGCTACAGGTGAACTCTCAAATTTCGAAAATAATTTACTCACTATGTTCATATCGAATATCTTGATAAATCTACACATGTATTTTCAATGGGTGCCTTTAAAATCTCTCAATAAGTCCAGCACTATAACATAAAATATCAATCAAACCAATTAATAAATCTAGAAGAGCCAGATAAGCAATCTACTCTAGTGAATCTCTACATTTAAATGTTTAGTCATTCAAATCCAAATAAAGGCATTAATATTTTGATTCTGATTCTAAGATGGTTTGATATTTATGCTATCTAGCTTCAACAAATGTAATGGCAATAGATTTAAGCTTGTGAATCGAATGTAGAGTAAATGGAAAGATAGCATTAAGTTCACAGTTTAACCAAGATACTGTGATACATGTTCCTTAGTCCTAGAATATATTTAACAAGCGGAACTTATCAATAGGTATGTCATTCCAAAGCTACTGTAAAGTTAGAGCTTTATAGAATGGAACCTTTCATACACTATTTAGAACATAACTTCAACTGAGATGAAAGTAGTCATACAGAAATTGGGAAACCCCAAAAATAATAAGCAGAAAATGTTGAAATTTACTGCAAAACAAATTGCTAGGCAACAGTTAAGACAAAATAAAATGGCGAAAGTCAAATTAACAGCAACTGACGTATAATAACAAGAATTGAGAAATATGATAATTTTTCAAAATCTGCTTTAATTGAATCTATTCTAAAAGCCAAGACAGAGATTCCTACTCTTTTCGATAATAAGAAAGATACAATTTAATGATATACTTGAAATATAATATCATAAATAGTTTCGACCTGAATAGAAGAAAGGATCTGAATACAAAAATCATCCATTGAAAAAATTTCATATATTTAAAGTAAAATTTGTATATGATGGTATAAAATGAATAAATTAAAATTTCAATTCATTTAAAATATTCTGCATTAATGGGGTTTTGGGGTTTTGGGGAGATCGGAAGAGCA